CGAGACGATGTCGTTTCCGGGCTCCGCGTTGATGTAGTTCCCGTTGTGCGATCTGGCGCCGCGCGCGGGCGGGCGGGAAGCGACGGCCACGACGGCAGCTGCGCCAGGAGGGGCGGCGAGAGAAGCTGTCGCAAGCAGACGGCTGCCCACCCCCACACCGAGAGCCGATCGAAGAAAGCCGGAGGCAGCCGAAAAACTGCGACACTGGCGCCCGCACTGGTTATCTGCAGTCATGCCGAAGCTGTGAAAACGTGCGCAGAGGATTCTGAGAAAGCGTGCCCAATGGAACCTCCGAATGGCTCGAGCGGCGATTGCAGTCGCAGCGGCGGTAGTGGTGACGGCATCAGCAGCGACAGCGACAGAAGCGGCAGCAGCGGCAGCAGCGCCAACAGCGGCAGCAGAAGCGCTGGCAGCAGCAACAGCGACAGCGGCAGCAGCGGCAGCTGCAACTTCAACAACGGCAGCAGCAGCAGCAGCAGCAGCAGCAGCAGCGACACCAGCGGCCGCAGCGGCAGCAGCATCAGCAGACGTTGAAGCAGAAGGGAGTACGTACTGCTACAGAGGCCTTGCAAGTCAAGTGACACCTTCGGCATGGCTGGCTACAATGTGCTGCCGAGTACAATACCGAGTGTGGCACCAGACGTCCAGTGGAACGCACCTCGCTTCCTGAACGAGCAGATTCGGCCACGCTAGACCAGGCATCTCCTCTAGCACATCACTGACGGACAAAAAGCTGCCCATCGTTCTGCCGATGTTCGAGGGATGGGCATGTGCAGCTACATCACGACTTCCCCAGCTGGTGTTCCCACATCCTTGGGCGAACATCGGCATTGGACAGAAGTAGCCTCCCACAGCCAGCGCAGGCATTGGATTTTGCAAATCACCCTGCCGAGAAAACAAGAAAATGTCGGCGACCAGGGATGCGGACTGATCTGGAGCTAAAACACGTCAACACGAGCGAGCACAGAACGCAAGCGGTCTGGCGCGAAAGTGTTCTCAAAAGCTAGCTAACAACAACGGGCGCCATGCGCCGTGGCGATCGCTTCCGAGTCCATCCGCGCTTTGCTCATCGCTGCCGTGCAGAACAACCAGCAGTGAAGAAGCGCAAAGTACGAAAACTCACAGCTGAATATGACTCTGGAGGGCGTTCTCTGGTATGCCCACCTCAGCATGCATTGTGGACCTGAGCGCAGTATGTGGGTGATTTGTATGGGTAACAATGACAGCAAGCACTGCTGCAAATACGGGCAGATTGGCAGCGACACTCGGCGACGGCGCAGACAGCAGCCCCAGCAGAAGGCAAGAAGAGAGTAGCGCGTCCTCAGGCAAATGACGTCCCCGTCCTTAGGAGCACACAGGAGGGGGGGGGGAGAGGGGGGGGGGAAGCAGATGAGGGGGGGAACACGAGGATGCGGACGAGGAGGAGGGGAGGAAGGCGGGAGGAGGAGAAGCAAGACAAGGGGGAACAGAGAGAGTAAGAGGAGGAAGAGGAGGAGGAGGAAGAGGAGGAGGAGGAGGAGGAGGAGGAACAGGAGGAGGAGGAGGAGGAGGAGGAGGAATGAGGAAGGAGGAAGGAGGGGGCGGGGACGAGGGCGAGAGCAATGAGAAAAAGGATCCGCAGCCGCCCAGCTCTGGTGCCTGCTCGGCTCCGCGCCCCCGGCTCGCGGCTCCCCAGGGCGGCGCTGGTGCCCAGAGGGAGGCGCCTGCTGCGGCGCCGCGCGACCGCGGAGGCCGCGGCTCGAGGCCACACCGTGCCAGCCGGGAGCGGCGGGGGGCGCACCGCGGGCGGCCTCTCCGTGGCGCGCTCCTCGAGCCCACTCTGCCGGCGGCATGCGAGGGCTCCAGGGATCGAGGACCACCGCGGGTCGAGGGGCCGAGGCACCGAGGGACCGAGGGCCGAAGGGCCCAGGGGCCGAGGGACAGCAGGACCAAGGGATCGAGGGATCGAGGGGCCGACGCGCCGCGTGCCGACCCTGCTCGGCCTTCCGAACCGCTCGCCGAAGAGACCTGCCGCGCTGGGCGGCGAAGACCCTCGGCGGCGACGGCGCCGCCCGCGCGCCACTGCCGCCGCGCGGGGACGGCGGCCCGCGCGTGGCCGCCTCTGGCGCCTCGGGGGCGCGACCGACACGGCCGTGGCCGGCGCAGGCAGCAGGGAACGCCACGCTTGAGCCCTGCCCACGTGGCCGGCGCTGGCTCCGTGGCCGTCCACGAGGGAGCGGCCACGGGGCACGGGCGGCCGACGTGAGCCCGCAACCTGCCGCCACGAAGCGCGGGCGCCCACGTCGAGCCTGCGCGGGCGCGGCTGCGCAGAAGGGGGGCGGCGGCGCGATGCTCGGCAGCGGCAGGGCAGTGACGCCTCAGTCGATCAGGGATCAACGGCTCCTGATGCCCCTCAGCTCGCGCTGGACTTACCACGACTTTTCCAGGTGTGCCCATGTACCTCATATACGAGAAAATTAATACCGAAAAACGGTTTGCAGAACCCCCTGCATAACCTTGCACAACATCGCACAACCCCTCGCACAACCTGCACAGTCACAAGAATTCTTCGACGCGGAGACCCCCCTATGTGCATATGGATGTTCGTGGCACGCGTCGCAAGGAGCAGTTGTCTGTGAGCATCTGGGTGTGTATCTGTTCGGGCGGCCCCTATTTGGGGTGTTGACACCAGCGCATCGCTGGGGACATCCTCACAATCTGCTGGAGTAACGAGGAGGACAGGGATGAGGAGGATGAGGGGGAGGAGAGGAGTGAGGAAGAGAGTGAGGAAGAGAGTGAGGAAGAGAGTGAGGAAGAGAGTGAGGAAGAGGAGGAGGAAGAGGAGGAATAGGAGAATGAGGATGATAAGTGTGTGACGAGGAGGAGAGGAGGATGCGAAAGAGGGGGAGGCGGATAAGGAAGAAGGGGAGGAGGAGGAGGACAGGAACCCCATCCTCTTCCCCCTCTCTCGCTCCTACTCCGCAGCGTTCCCAAGGCGCCCGCGCCGCGCTCGGCCCGCACGCACACGCGGACCAACCTGGCAGGGCCATGGAACGGCATCGTAAACGTTTGGTCTGGCCACGTAGCATCTGTGGAGGCCAGGCCCGCGCGTATTGCAAGGCCCAGTCGGGGGGGGGGGTAGGACAAGGGTGTCGTAGTACACGTGTCTAATCGGGTTGCCGTCCTGGCCCTGCAGATCCATAAAGCATCCCGAGTCGCCTGTAAGAGTAGGTCGGTAATGTCAGTGTTGTTCGTTTTGGAGTTCGTCGTTGCCGTAGTCCACGTGGTACATTTTGTTATGCGTGTACTGCACGGTGGGCAGCTCGAAACGCTGTCCGTATGGCTTCGCGGCGAAGGCCTGCTTGAAGATGCCGATGGCGGGCACGCCAGTAGAAATATCCAAGGCAATGTAACCGTCGGGAGGTACGGCATGTAGTAGGAGAAGCCTACCGCAGATTCCCATGGGTGAGATTATGCAGCAATATCGTTCCTAGACGATTGCCGACATTCGCTTTTCCTGGCTATTGTGGGATCTTTCCGTTCCGTCGATAGTAACCTCGCCCGTGCCTTCAGTGCAGTTGGCCTTGTAGATATCGACGCGTTTGTCGTACAGGTCCTTCACGGAGTGGCGTAGCGCGGCCTTGACCTCGGAAATTCTGAAGTACGTTTTCTCATGTTCTCTGTGGGCCACCTTGATGACGACCTGTCTCCGCGTATTCTGGCATGACAAGTCTCGTAACCATAACCATGTTTCCGCCAGTAGTTGCTGTTGTCCACTGGCCTTGTCATCTGGCTCATGGTAGTTCATGGTCTACATGTTCCCCGACGGTTACTGACGCGCACGTAGGTTACAGCCAGTTGCTCGAGGCAGCAGCTGCACTAACATGTTATGACGCTGGTCACTTAGATTGGCTATCCTGGAGTGGGTCAGTGTTGGTTTTGTTGGCAGGTAGGTAGGCGGGCTGGTCGGAGGTGAGGGGGTGAGATCGAAGTGGAACGGAGAGCCCCCCTACCGGGAAATCGATTTCGGTTTCGTGTTCGTGCGTGCCGTGCGTGCGGGCGAGGCGAAGCTGCGTGGGCGGGCGAGAGAAAGTCTCCTGTGGCTGAGGCGCGGCCAGACCAAATGATTCTCCACCGGGCGGCCGGTGGCGCGCGGTGTCCCGCCGGTGTCCCGCGAAAGTCCCGTGTGGCTGAGGCGCGGCCAGACCAAATGATTCCCTTCCGGGCGGCCGGTGGCCCGCGGTGTCCCGCCGGTGTCCCGCAGTGTCCCGCGGTGTCCCGCGGTGCCCCGCGGTGTCCCGCCGGTGTCCCGCGGTGTCCCGGATGATGAGATGATGATGATGATGATGATGATGATGATGAGGATGATGAGGATGATGATGATGATGATGATGATGATGATGATGATGATGATGATGATGATGATGGTGGTGGTGGTGGTGATGATGATGATGGTGATGCTGATGATGATGATGCTGCTGATGATGATGACGATGATGATGATGGTGATGCTGGTGATGATGATGATGATGATATGAGGACGATGATGATGATGATGATATGATGATGGTGTCCCGATGATGATGATGATGATGATGATGATGATGATGATGTCGATAATGATGATGATGATGATGATGATGACGATGATGATGATGATGCTGATGGTGTCCCGATGATGAGGATGATGATGATCATGATGATGTTGATGATCATGATGATGACGATGATGGTGACCCGATGATGATAAGTATGATGATGTTGATGTTGATGATGCTGATTATGATTGTGTCCCGATGATGGTGATGTTGATGATGATGAGGTTGATGATGATTATGGCGTCCCGATGATGAAGACTATTATGATGGTGATGATGGTGATGATGATGATGATGTTGATGATGATGGCGTCCCGATGGTGATGATGATGATGTTGATGCTGATGTTGGTAATGATGATGACGGTGCCCCGATGATGACGATGATGATGATGATGTTGATGCTGCTGATGCTGATGATGTCGATGATGAGGATGAGATGATAATGATGGTGTCCCGATGATGATGATGATGATGATAACGATGGTGATTATGATGGTGTCCCGATGATGATGCTGCTGATGATGATGATGATGACGATGACTGTGTCCCGATGCTGCTGATGATGATGATGATTGTGATGATGGTGATGATGATGATGGTGGTGTCCCGATGATGTTGATGACCGATGATGATGATGATGATGATGATGATGATGATGATGATGATGATGATGATGATGATGTTGGTGTTGATGATGAGGACGGTGTCCCGATTATGATGATGTTGGTGATGATGATGTTGATGTTGATGTTGTTGTTGTTGATGATGATGATGACGTTGATTGTGAGAGCGGTTGTGGTATCGATAGTGAGATCGATAGTGAGACCGAATGTGATATCGATTGTGAGATCGATTGTGAAATCGATTGTGAGATCGATAGTCAGATCAATTGTGAGATAGATCGAGTGAGATCGATTGTGAGATCGATCGAGGGAGATCGATCGAGCGAGACCGATACTGAGATCGATAGTGAGATCGATAGTGAGACCGATCGAGTGAGACGTTGGTTCCCCCCCCCCGAACCTCCGTATCACCCGAAGGGTGGTCGTATAGGTAAAAGTATTGCCGATGGAACATGTCGTAGAACAGGCGCCCTCGCGGTTGTCCTGTGGTGCCTCGTGACATCTACTCCTGCCCAGGTCCGAATACTGCGTAGCCTGTACGTGTCGCGCCTGGAAAGGAGAAAGAAGAAGAGGAGGGCGCCCAGGCAGAAGTGCTTCTTGCTCGGGCCAGGGAGGAGGGAGCACGAAGGTGAAGCACGCGGCGTGCATGTAGCATGTACAGTCTGGAATAGCGCACGTAGTAGCGGCCTGTGAGTGCACCGATGGTTCCTGATGCCGCGCTTGAACGGGCACGTACTTCTTCTACTCGTCGCCCGCGGCCATGCCCATGCCGATATTGCTGGTCTTGGGGCTGTCCATCAGGTTGTCGTTTTCGTAGTCGGCTTACTAGGCTGGACCCCCCAAAAATCTACCCCAAGAGTGTTGTTCGTGATTACTCGTCGTCGTGGGGCATTGTCGGGTGTCTGTCCAACTCCGTGTGTTCCTCCGCTCTCTCGCTCTTCTGAACTATTCCCTCAACCTCCTCTTTGTCCGTCCTCGTCCTCCTCCTTCGACATCCTCACTTCCCACCCTCTCATCTGTCCCCAATCGTCCTCGTAGCATTCCTCTTTTTCCAGCTGGTGTGTGACTTGAGGCACAAAATAAAAAAAAAATAAAAAAAAAAAAAAAAAAAAAAAAAAAAAAAAAAAAAAAAAAAAAAAAAA